GACTAGAACGGTCGGTTAACCGATGTGACGGTTAATCGGGGGTCGGATAATCGATGCTCTACTGTACTTAAAATTTCCAGCAACAAGTTGCTTAATTTTCCCGGCAACATTTGGTGGCGCCAGCTGTTATGCTATTTTATTTTTAAATTAACTAGTATTATAAAATGGCAAATAGCCTACTTTTGGGGTAGGGATGGCTTTTATAAAAAATATTGTAAATACTAATAACAAGTAAAGCTCCAGTAGAGTCGGACTTAATGACGATTTCACTTGTTATTGGCATTTACAATTATTTTATAAAACCCATCCCTGCCCTCAAAATTAAGTTTTTTGTCATTTTATAATAGTTAAAAATATATTGAAAAAAATTTAATAATAAAATATTATAACAGATGGCATCACCAAATGTCGCCGGGAAGTTAAGCAACTCGTTGCTGGATTTTTTTATTTTAGAGTTAAAATATACAAGAAATATAATTCCACAATTCTTATTGTGCTGTTTGGAGCACGTGTCTTTTCGTTCACTTTTATGATACGAATATTTAATTGTTAATAACGTATTTTATTTTATGTCTGTGCAAGGAAAATATATGACTTGTAATTTGATAGCAGTAAATGTACCATTAATTTTTTTGCCAATATAAAAATTGAAAAAAAATTAATGGCTACATTTAGTACTAGTTTCTTGTAATAAATCAACAAACAGAGTAAACCAAGAGATAAAACTTAAATATACATATTTTTCTTTATAAAAGAAACGCTTATTTAAAAATAATGAGAATTATTCCTGCTTATTTATCAAATAAGTCTGTTTATTTACTTTATTATATTTTAAAAAACTGCGATTTTTGAGTCTAGTAGCGATACTTTTAGATGTGATTTTGTAGTTAAAATCAGAATCCTTTGGGAACTGCTGATTTAATTTATATTTACATATAATATTTCAATTACTAAAGTAAATAGCAATGCTGACGTTTAGAAACAATTATGTTAGAACAGTATCTTATTTAATATTAATAAGATTTAATAAATAAAAGTTTTAATTTAATATCATAATTTTACTTATTCATTTTAACATTAAGAATATTATTAATTACAAAAGTACAAGTAATATAGTGATACGGAAGAGAATATAAAATTAGTCTTAAGTGATGATGTTTAACTTTGATGCGTGCACTGACATATCACTTACCCTCCGCTCTTGATTGATTGCAAGCTTTGGTTAGCCATTTGCTCGCACGTGATTGCGTGATACCCTAACGTGCAATCGAACAGATAAATCAGATCACCTCCGTCAGTATTCTTTCCAATCTTGGTTTAGTAATATTCGGAAATGTCGCGCGATATGATCACACGCTCTACTTCTACAACATCCATAGAAAGAATAAGAAATTCGTTTCGTCGTCCTAATAATTTACCTATCGATAGTCATAAAAATGAAAAACTAAGTGTTTCTTCGTTGTTAACACCTCAAGGAATTAGATCTCTATCTCCCAGCGGACAGCTACCTTCTCCAACTTCTCCTGTTTACAGATATGCTAGCGTTGAACGATTGGCTCAGAGACAAAATTTTTATGAAAATGTTGAAACTGCGAAAAAAAGTCGCGATATTTTTTCACCTGTAAGTACTTTTCTAATTTATATACATTAAATTTTTCTACTTTTGTGAAAAAAATAATTTAAAATCTAAATCTCGAAAGCACACTGTTGAAAAATATTGCATTTTGATATATGAAAACAGTTTTTGATTCATATTTACTTTTATAGATATACAGAGTTAGGAACAGAGATAAATTTAAGATTTAATTAACGTCTGCTATAAGTGCATCATTCATTTTTTAATAATAATATACCTGTATATAAAAAATTGGAAATTAATGTTAGTTAGTTATTTATCATTTACTAATTTCTAGCAAAAGTCTTTTGTGATTCTAATTATCATAATTTCATAAGTAAGTTTACCTTGCAGTTTATATATTTATTTACGGTAAGTTAATGAGTTGTAAATTTTAGACAATTTAATAATAAAATATTTTTTTCAATAATTAAAAATTAGAATGACTATTTAGGCCGCGAAATTGAAAAGATGATAGAAAGAGAATGTTGTATTTAACAAATGTGAATTGGATAGTCTACTTTTTGGAGGTTTTGTGTCGCCTACTTAATTAATACGAGTGTAGTACGAATACAATCACTTATTAGTTTTAACCATTAATTGAATTTATTTGGATTATTGAAAATAATTTAAAATTTGATTGGAATTCATGGAAATAATCATATGAAAAACAATAATTTATCTTCACATATATAACTTTCCCACGATTTATAAGCGTAATAGGTTTCTGAAAACTCATAAAGCGAATTCTCTTAAATTTGAATCGGTCATTTAAATGGGAAAATTATTCAAAAAATATTATCTTTTTCATCAAAATATACAGAAATAATATAGAGCATTATATATATAATGCTCTACAACTCGTTTCATCATATCGCATTGCAAGGTAAAAGAAAAGTTTTTAGCGTAGATCTATAACAAGGTTCAATATATACAGTACTTCAGATATGCATCGTAAGAATAAATATATGTATTTATAATTCTTGACAAACTAACAAAGTTTACCACATAATGTGTTATTAAATATTTCATCATAAAATAAATAAACAATAACACGAAAATATAAAACTTAGTTTTTAATGTTACTTCTTAACAATCATCGTTAAAAATAAATTGAATGGGAAGAGAGAAGGTGAGTGAGACGGAAATAGTTGATGTTGTTTTGAACTTAGTAGTTGATACAAAAGAAAGACGGAAAGAAATACGAGATCGGATGAGATGATGGGTAACGTGTCATCAAATTATGGGAAAAGTGAAGAGTTATTGAGTAATTGTTTGAAATTCCATTAGAGAAAAATGATTTTCATTTATTTATTTTTTCTTTGATGTACACAACAATTTTGTCTTAAATTACAGGTCTTAGATTAAGTCGATGCTCCAAAATGGATCTGGAATGACTGGATATTGAGGATCTAAATCGTTTGACTTTTCTAGTAAATGTAGAATAGAATACTCGGAAATCGAAATTGTATAAAAACGAATATCGTAAACTGGTCGTTTGTAAAATGAGACGTGTTTGTTTGTGTATCGGATTTATATTAGTTACATATATTATGTTTTAGATACAGTATATATAAAACAATATTTGGATTATAAAATTATATTATTTAAAAGCAGCGTTTTTGAAATTGTTGGTTTTTTTATGAATTGAATTAGATTATAGAAGTACAGTGTTAAAAAGTCTATGTCGTAAATTTAAAAAATGCACATTTAAATGTAAATAGTATTTACAAAGGTTAATGAATTAAAATTACAAGTTTTAATATTATCTTAATTTATTTTAATTAGTTTTTAGTATTTACTTTATTCAATTACAAATTTTGAAAATAAATAAATTACCGTCATTGAAGTCGATGATTTAAATTTGATAAGTGCTGTCTAAATGTACATTTATTTCCTTCGTGACAAAGAAGTTTCTATTCTGTTGACTTGAATGAGATATTTGAATTAAATCGGTAGCTGGATGTTAAATAATAATTTATTATTAAGTTGAAATTTTTGCTCGTTAACTCAAGATAAGGAAATTTTAAAAAATAAATAGTAGTAATAATACGGTAATGATGATAATTTCAAAAGAAAAAACATTGTTAAGTATTTTCGCTACGTTTTATTCGTATATTTCTTTATTTTGTGCTTTTTGTATAATATATTTACATGATATGAAGTAATTTTATTGTTTCCATTATTTCATAGCAAATAACAGCAATCATATTTAAATGCAAACTTCATTTTTATTTTAATAATATTTTGTAATAACGTTATCATGTTCTTCTATACAAGAAACAAAATATTAATTTGTAATACTCGTTTCAACGGTACTGTAGACCAACGGTGGGCAACCCCCGGCCCGCGGGCCAGCTACGGCCCGCGAAAAGTTTCTATCCGGCCCGCGAGATGTTTAGAAGAAATTATAAATAAATATTTTTCGATGTAATTCGTCTAGTTTAAATTGAATATTATTTTCTGAAGTGTTGTGGCAGCAGTGACAGGAAAAAATAAGCGAGTAATTTCCTTATTCAAACAAAAAATGGGAGAACAGAATTTTTCTAAATTATTTATATCTCATCGCATCATCNCATAGAGCCTTTACTACATGAAAATGAAAATTAATGAATACACTGTGTACAGTAATTTACCTGATAAGACAGACCTCAGAAAAATACTTTATGAGAGCATTTATACTTTTATAAAGCTGTCTATAATGAAAATTAATTAACTAAGGATTTTTTTGCCCTGCCAGGGTGTGCCCGAGTTATCCGGAGTGCCGGGTTATCGAGAGCCGAGTTTTCGAGGTTCTACTGTACTCGTTTCGACGGTACTGTAGACTATAATCTTTCAATGATTCAATAATAATGAATTAAAATTAAAAGTTTTTCTTTTAAGAATTTCGTCACTAGTCAAATTTTTTATTGACTCTAAAAAATGTCTTTTTATAGAGTTGTATAAGTCGATTAAAGCAATTTTTCTTTTTGTCACGTTAAAATAATCTTCAAATTCATACGTTAATTGAATTGAATTTCATTTTATTTTCATAATTTATTGGCTAAGTTAGTATTAACATGTGTTTTTCTGAGATATCACAAATTATATAAAAAGCGATTTCTGTGAGAAACTAATAAGAATAAAATTGAGTTCTTCACACACAAAAGTTTGAATTTTCTTTTTCCGGAAAACCTTTTTTTAAATACAATATTTAAAATAAATATTTTTTTAAAATACAGTACTGTACATTAAAATATAGGCTACATGTATGTAATATATCATCGTAGGAACCTGATGGTTGACCAAAACTTTTGTTGCCTATATTAAAAATTAATTCAGACAAATATTTTTTAGTTTAAATACAAAACATTTTCTTAAAGTTAGATATCTTACTTTAATTGTAATTTCTTTATTTTTTATAGAATTAATTTTGCAAAATGTTGTCCCTGAAAATTTACCCCTTAAGCTGATTCTTAATATACTGATGTCCAGAGCTGACCCTTTATAAATGGGTAAGCAAACATTTTGATTTTTGAAGAGATCGGTAGATCTCAATAATCTGGAAAACCGCTATAGTATAATGTATATTCTGGTTACGAATGTTGGATCGATTTTTCACATTTCTCGACTCAGTTATAAAATAATAAAATCTAAACAACTTAATATTTTCTTCCTTATCATAAGCGTGAATGTTAAGTTCTGGAATAATATAAATTTCTGTTTGTTAAAAATTTAACGCCTTTTCTTTTAGAAGGTTCTAAATCCATATCTTGGTATCAAGCTCGATATCGATATTATATATTTTAGAATGTTTATATTGAAAAAATATATGGGGTTCGGTATATCGTTGTTGTAAATGTGTAACGATTTCGATTTGATACATCGGTTATAATTTCGATAACGGAATTAGATAGACGAAAATCGAGACCAGAAATGGAAAGCTTAGGTAGAGCTGGAGGCCCTAACTATATATAAACGGTTTGGTTATCGGCACACACTAATCCATGAGGAGTTACGTCGAGTAGAATATTGGTTCATTGGGAAAAATTACATTTTACACAGTATATCGTATCTTTCTAGTATTGAACATTGAAAATTTTGTAATGATGAATATTGTCTTTTATCTATAATAAATATATACTTCCTGTTAAAGTGAAATTCGTATAGTCGAGAAAGTATCAAACAATTCATTCAGGAGAATTCTCGTATTATTTGTTCCCGGACAACTCTTCTTCAGGCAGTTCTTTCTCTAAACGATTTTTTCCTCGAATAAATCGGTATGATTCTTCCACGCGACCGATTTTCCTGGACGACACGTGTCTTCTTCCAACAACTCTTTTTCTCGAAGTTTTTTACATTCTCTCTTATTAGTTCTTGCTTAAATGAATCAGTTTATGAATTTATATTAACTTACTGTATAAATTTGTCAATTCTTTAGAAACAAAATTTAATTCTATAAAAAATACATTATCTTATCTTATCTACAGAGTTATATGAGAACTGAAATTTAAAACGAATTTAAAATGAAATTTTTGCAATAATTAACGATTCTGTGTGTGTTTTTCATTGTTTAGTAATCATTATAAATAGACTTGAAGAATTTCTTGAAAAATATGGCAGTGAAAATGTCGTGATAGATAAAATTGGGTGAAAAAGTCATTGGTGACAATAAATTATAGAAAAACATCGTAATAGATAGCCTCATATTTTTAATATAAAGAATTGAATGCACCAGTCATCAAATGCAAAGAATTAATAATAATTATAACTTTTAATATGCAACATTACCGAATTACGGTAGAATAGCGTTTCCCAAACAGCTGTTCAGACTAATTCCAGAGTTTTCGCGAAACTTTTAGAACGTATGTAGTAATGTGCGTTTATTTTTCTAAAAATATACTGAAAAAAGTCATAACACGTTTCATTACATAACGTTACTTTTTTCGATACGATTGGTACGTATACAACTTCCTCACAGAATGCGTTCAATTCCCACCACTAATTCATATTTATGTCTACACATAAGCAGCTTGCAGACTGAAGCGAACTTTTGGCGCAGTGCATTACGTAAGTGATAATTTATAGCCTTGTGCATTATTTAATGCATTCTTCTAATACATTTACTATTTCAATAATTAAATGTTACGCTTTTTTTAAATTTTGTTATATCTGGATGTGAACAGTTTAAGCAAGTGCCTCTATGCAAACTACAGCTTTTGTTTTTAGCTCTTATAACAAGGACCACTCTAATATACAGAGTGTATCAGAATGATGTTTTAAAAATTTGGGGTATGTAGAGGATGAAATTCTGAACGTTTTGATATAAGGAACCTATAGCCGGAAATGTGATATAAAGTTTCTACAGCACTTTGCATGTTCTATGCGGTCGGTATGCTGAATGAAACAGCAAATTACAGTATTTATGACAAGTTTTATTGACAAAACAGTAGTGTACAATCAAGCTGTACATCGAATCAGTGGCTGTACTATTTTAGAGTAAATGTTCAATGTGACGACCACCAATTTTGTTACATAATGTGCAACGACGAATCATGTTTTGTCCGACCCTCTGTAAGATGCTACGCTTCCCTCTGATGGTATTAAATGCTGTAAAAATGCGCTCCGTAAGATCATGAACTGTTCCTACAGGTGTTGCGTACACAAGGGACTCACGTTTACTAGCTGTGTGTTTACAGCAAAGCGCCAGTGGATGCAAGGTGTGACCTGAAGGACGACAAGCACTAAGTACACAACGTCCTGTACACAGGCTCAGTTAGACCACTGTAGTTGTGTGTTTACAGTCTTCCATCCGCAACAATAACATGACGTCAATGGACGGAAGTGTAGCTACCAAAGTGAAGGGCGATCAAACACTTCCTACCGCTGTAGACACTTTAGTTCAAATTTCCAGCTATAGGTCCCCTATATCTAAACGTTCAAAATTTCATCCTCTATAATCCCTCAAATTTTTAAAACGTCATTCTGATACACCCTGTATATACCTTTACACAGTTCACGAGTTTTGTGATACACCAAAATTTAAATATCTAAAGTGTTAAACGACATGTACAATAATTTTGACTTTTTTCCTACTTTTTATTAACTTTCTCCAGCAACGAGTTGCGTAATTTTCTCGGCAAAAAATGTAGGAACGACAAACAGACGGACGCCAGTGGAAATTTATGGATCATTTTAAAATTGCAGACCTATAAATTCCACTGTTGTTTGTCTGCCCGACCGTCCTTCCTTAATCTCGAGAACCTAGTTAGGTAGATGAAAGTTGAGATCAGAAATGGAAAGCTTAGGAACCGGAGATTACGTTAACTATATACGAACTTTCGGTTTGGACCGGAAGTCACGTTATTTTAATTCAACAATTTTCTCCAGAAGAGTCAGATATGATATGACCGGCATGAGTCTCTTGTTAACAGGAAAATATAATGTATAGGGGCAAGATCACTACTAAAATCAAGAGCATTGTGCATCGAGATCTAAAAAATTTCAGATGGGCATTATGACGATGCTACAATAAATAATTGCTCCTTTAATTAACCTACTCGAATTTTAATCACCAAAATTTAATAGCATCAACACCCCTTATATACAAGTTGTTATGCCGAATTTCGTTTCTTAATCTTTACCCATCCTGAGATATTAAATGAAATAGACGCCAACACACGCGCGCGCGCACGAAATTTTTTTTCCGTGTTTTTGACTTTCTTGGGTTCAGGAAGTCTCAAGACGTCGAGATTTGCAGAAAAAAACCCAGAGTCAAATTTGACACGATTCCAATACTTTTCCGTGTTAAATATATAACGGCCGAGAAAGTAAAAAAAAAAAAAAAAATTGATATTCCCAAAATTTGTCTGACTAGATGAAATTAGAGGTTACAACCAAAGTTTGAAATATTAAATATACTTTATTATAAGCAAAATACAAGGGAATGCAGTACCAAGCATTTAAAATTTACAGTTAGTAATTTCCATGTTAAGTCACCAGTTGAACATATCAATACTCATACAGTAGAATAATAATAATTTACTGTACGCTTACCAATAATAATAATAATTATTGGTAAGCGTACAGTAAATTATTATTATTCTACTGTATGAGTATTGATATGTTCAACTGGTGACTTAACATGGCGCTTATCAATAATAATAATTATTATTATTATTATTGATAAGCGCCTTTTTGATAAAGTCTGGATCTCTCTTCTGTTGATCACTGACAACCTGCAGAAGAAATTGGTTTTGCTTTTCATTCGAGGTATATTCTTCGATCGGCAACTCCATGTTAAGCCGTATCGTTATTGTATTTGATGGACCTGATGCATATTTTATGGCAATGTAGTCCACAATGTAGCCATAGTTAGAGATCTAATTCTGTGAATTTCGAGTCAAGACTTAAATCTTCAAACTATTGCTGATACAAAATAGTCGAAACTTTTTTCCAAGATGCTATCCTAATCGACTGTCGCTCGTTTTGGGATTCTGGAGAGTTCGAATCATTTCGGCTTTTATATCTCTTGATACTCTTTTATCGAATAAACCAAAGGCAACCAACTTTTCACCATTACTTTCTTGCTTCGAAGGTAGCTTTCTTCTAGATATTTGATGTGATTGTTGTCCGATTAGACAAATACTCGTCATTTTATGTATACCAGGCGTAACAGTAGCCATCTATATCTTCATAAAATAACCAGTCGTAAGTCAGTCTCAGTTTACACTAGAAACTTACAAACTGGGAATGCACTATATTATAATCTCCTAACAGAACATTTCTCTTGTGTTCTTACACAACTTACTGGAAGATCACTCTTGGGTGAATTGCACTCTGGCTGTTTGAAATCACTAACTCAAGTAGTCTAAATTTATAGTATAGTATAGTCTGGAACAATCTAAGACCTAGAGTCTAGGTCTTAGATTGTTCCAGAAAGTTGTAGAACATTCTGGAAGGTTCTACAACTACGTTTTTCCAGAGGATCCGATATGGACTATTATAGAACATGAGGTAACAACATTGCGCTCCTACTGTTGTACTTGCGTAGGATTTCTATTTCAATACTGAGTGGTCCTACGCTCAGCATTATGACAAATTGAGATTTTTCAGATCATAGTAACGACCCGTTAAATATTATTCAAAACTAACTAAACTTTTCATAAATTTTTTAATAATGGAACAAGATGTTCTTCAAAATGTTTCAAAAAATTGAAAATGTGCTCCATCCAACTTCCCAAAACTTAAATAAGACCACCCTAATATGTATATTATAAACGGGGTGATTCTACATTGTTATGGTTTCCATGTCTTTTACAACTGGAAACAAAATTAAACTACTTACAGAATATGAAAAGGGACTCAAAATGGTTTATTTGGCAACGATTTACTCGCTACATTAATGTCTAGGAGATACAGTGGTATGTACCTCATACTTCGCTAAATTCGACAAAAATTCGCCTCAGAGTTCGAACTGCGTGCGCTGTGAAAAAATGAGCTCGAAGCGTCAACG